GGCTCAGCCAGGCCGGCCCTAACTGTGACAATACATACTAGTCGTTTCATTGGACGGGGTTATATTTAGTACAAAGTACGAGTATTTGTGTTGATCATAGCCAGCGATATAAGCCGAATGATGCTCGGTGTCATCGCACGTTAGGACTTTACAATACACTTTATAGAAAAGAGGGGCGCATCATGCGCAGAAGGCTTTATGTATTTTTATGTGGCACTCAGTATGCTAGCACGACAATACGAGTGAATCAAACTGCAGTCCAAAAAGCGCTGTTGCTGGGCTACGCATTGTCTTGGCTATTTAATTGAGGGAGTTGACAAAGCCTCGATATAATCTCGTTTCATGAATGTCACAACAAGCAAGCTCAACCTGTCCATCTTCAACGTGAGCAACAACTTAACCTCAGCTCTGTCTTTCACTTCGAAAGGAATCGCCCATGTCAACATCTAGTTCTTTTTAACATACCAGGACTTGGGTTCTGTTCAAGTTGTCCATATGGTCAGTTGACGCGCGCGAGTTTCACGTGCCTTCTCTCTGTCCAAAAATTACCCGCACCTGGCCATTGCCACAAGGGGACATAGAAAGAAGACGAATGTAAGTACCGGATATTAGGATCAGTGCCTACGATTCGATCAGCATGTGCAAATCGATCAGCCATCTCAAACTCGTAAAGTCGTTTCTGCTCTCGTGTTCAGTCACCAAAATCCACATCGCACGTACAAGCGTCAAGTCGTTATCATACCCGTATCCTCCATCAACATTGTATCAATTATACATCGTTTGGCAAGCGTACAGAATCGCACACAATGCTATTTTTGCGTCGTAAAAAGTTGGTAATCTTTGTAGAGTAGCGTAAAAAAGAAAGGATCGAAATATTCAGTATATTGTGATGACAAAGGCGGCAATTGCAAATTCTTATATGTACTATGCGTAAGTTGTAACAATTGCACTCGATGCGTTGTAGCCAAAATAAGCCGACTAGTATCTTGGCCTTGCGCGGACCCAGGTACGATAAATACGTAATACATGTACAATCACAAAAGTTTGGCAACGATCGAGACTCCACATAATCACTCTACTGTCGCGTACGATTGCCCAAATTGCCAAAAAAATGACTTTCTAACGACGTACGGAGCCGGCTCGCGTGCTGCTTTTACATTTGATTTCGAGCCTATGTAATACGGAAATTGTGTTTGATTTACAGATCGGTAAGTCTCTTTCCTAATTGAAAATTGTTGTACTGCCCACGTACTTTGTATGTTGATTGTGGATCTGTGTACGGAGTTACTGTGCAATTGTTAAACCCGGGGATCGATTATGCATTATTTACACCACACTACAAAAAGCATCAATGATGAGCATCACAAAATACTGACATACTGAAGTACGCACGCGTAATCATGCGGATGTGCACAATCCGTGATCGCAAAAAACAGACATGTAGTTATGCCGCATATCGTTATCAAACCACGCCAACAGGGCTCCTGCATGGTTCATCCCCCGATTGTTTATACCGAAATCTGTGCCGTGCCGTGCGCATCAGACATCACACCGCAACCACGACACAGTATTCCTTACTACGCTTTCAATTTCTTCGCCATTCATCAAATGAGCGTAGCCTCGTGCGAAGTGTGGCCTTATAAAGGCCGAGTTCGATAACTCGTCTCTGCTCCTTTTCTGGGAACACGTTGCCGCATTATGTAACAGCTGGTATCTCGACTTTCACGAAAAAGACTCATATCTGTGAGTTTAGTAGCTCTGCAACATATTTGTAGTCTTTCGTTTGCTTTGACTACCTGGGCATGACGCGACCCATAGTGCAAATCTCCATGTCTTGTGCCTTTTGGCTCAATCTTTTGGGTCAATACGTGTTATCTTGTCCTAGACGCGATCTTGTCCGCACCGAACTGAGGCTCATCTCACATTCAGCCGGATTTCTGTCGAATACATGACCAACGATATTCTCCGTTCACTTCTCCTCAACTTAAGTGACCTTCGACCGTTTTTAATACCTCAGGACTTGACTGTCAACTACGTGCTGCTCTTGTTGCCGGTATATCCTGTATTAGCGACTCCGGCGGCGAAGACTAAGCGCTCTCGTATCTGATTGGTTCCGTAAAGCGACAATAGGCCTCTGCTACTTACCTCGACTTGTCATGCCGTTGTCTGTGCCCCGATTTATACGAAGCCGTAGCGATGACAGAGCTGCTAAGCCTAGAGAAAGACTCGGTTGAGATTGCTGCGTTGAATAGGGTTATGCAGGGTCACACTTGGGAAGGTATCCAAATGGATATAGACTTGTGAGGCAGATCAGTAATCATGTGAATAAGGGTCAGCGTCAATGACGTAAGCCCATTCAGTCAGTATTCCGCGATGTGCTTGACCTCGCTCTTCCCGCGCTATTATCGTAATCTGTCGCTAGAATCGAACGTGTTATGCCTTGACCTAGCGTATACAGCCAATGAGCATGAGTAAGTTTCACCTCTAATGCGTGTTCGCGCAGAGCTGAAAAGGCGTGATCCGGCAGATAATAATTGATGATTCACTTAGTCATCAAAGCTTGTTGTCATAGTGTTACCGTATATCTAACACCCATGATCGGTCCACCAGGGTTGAACGAGTAGTAATTTTCACTTCACTTTAGAATGGATCGTAAAGAACTTTTGTCCATACCGAAAATTGTCTTTCGTTAACAAAGTGATAATTCACTTGTACATTGTTGTGTAAAGGATCTACTGGAAGGCGGTGATACAGTATGTGTGCACATTGGAAGTTTTATAGAATGGATTAATGCCGTTGACATGGGTTCACTTTGCGATTATGCGAATTATCTTCGGTTGACATGATCGACGTGTGCCTAAGAAACGCTCAATCCACTATACTTTCTCAAGATTGACCTGTTATCACGCAAGAGGTATGAAGGCTAGCAATTATAACAAGATGGATCTTCACTGAGACGGTGATGCTCGGGCAACGGCGGCGTCAGTGCTCTTGTGTACATGATTCGATCAGCTTCATGTGCATTTCTCACAGCTCAAATTACTGTGGGACTAGTAAACGATGAAGGTGGATCGGAACCGTAGAGAGTATGTGCGAGAATAGTGTAGGCGATGACTTTCGACATCTGACGGACGTGATAGTGCATGAAACGTTTCGTATGCAGCAGCCAAACGTGTGTCATTTCAGAGAAAGATTTCTGCGCCTTTTGTTCAAATGCAGCAGCCCACTACAGACCTCGACCCATGCACATTGACAAGTAGGAACGATGCACAGAGCAAGTCGAATCTATATACACATTCAAATACTTTTACGTGCTCGCAGTTACCTTGAAGCCTTGCTGCATTCCCTTTTCCAAGTAAAGCATGCATACGTGAAGACACAGACCTTACGCAGATGATGGGCGTGATGTCTTGGCGCAGCGATAAAACTGTCGTGGCCCATGTTGCCGCACAAAGATGCTGCTTGCAACTTGGTTCACCTGCTGTGGAAGCAGCATGTCGTTCTACATATCCCAAGAGCCCGTGTGAAAGTGATCAGAGGGGACGAAGACATCTTGAGGGTAGTATTGATATGGTGCAATAGATACCGGCATAATCCTGTCGCTGTGCACGGTCAGGGTGCAAAGACGTTCCAATTGTGTTCTAAAATGCAACCTGCTAGTGACAGACAACGAAGACTATTTACACTGTGGCAGAATTCGAGATAAACCCATTGCAAAACACCTCACGTTCCTCCAGCTAATATTTTCTAGGTGTCATTGCAAAAAAACACAGTGGCATTGAAATCTAATCGTTTCGATATCTTCAATGTCAAAGTCTGCGCTTTAGCTGGACAATAGAAAAAATCGCATACATGAGCGTCGCAATTCGTGATACTAAGTGGGTGGCGTTCGAAATGAGATTCTTAGGCAAGCAGCCGCAGCCTATGTAGACGGGAGGATGACAGCCGGAAGCATAGCTCTTGAAGCAACAAAATTGTATGGTGAGGGCTCAGTATGTGCAACTTCATCTCAAGCGAACGGAGGTTATTGTAATAGTCCTTGATGCATCACCGCATACATGGTATTTGAAAGGCACACGTGACTTAGACTGCGCTTGCATGCATCACTCCTATCTCCTTCGTTCGACTATATCGTAACAATGCACACACGAGACGATCGATCGAGCTAAAATGACGCCACTTTATGGAGGTAGACAGCTGGCTTCTACGAAAGGAAAGCACGATATTTAACCGAGCATGGCCAATCCGTATACACTTTTCTTGCCCTGCTCTACAAAATCGCAACCTGATCTCATTCGCTCTGAATGACCAGTTCTGGATATTTCGGACATTTAAAGCATAATCTGACGGAATGCTGGTCGGCCACTGGCAACCGCTGTCTGCGCGGTAGTCAAAAGTGCTTCAATTCGGTTACTGCAAAGAAGCTCAAGGAGTCGAGCCGCCTCACCTAAAACCTTCTCTAGCATGATTTATCGTTCTATCAGGCTCGCACGGCAAATGTGGTGTTTTCACCCCCACATTGCAATATCAGAGCACGTACTGGCTACGATGAAGTGAGAAGATTCCAATCTGCTTCACACCCTGTTTCTGGACAACGTTGGCTGCAGGTCTACTCTCCATCCTTCGTGCAAACGACCAGTATCTGGGCAATTTGTTTCGCTCCAGCCATTTCAGATTCTGAAGAAGTTCCGGATCTTGAGGACATCGGACCACTGCGTGGGTCAAGACCTCGTTCCCTCTCTCCACTTCCCAACTTGCATCGCACTCCTCACTACACCCACCCCATCCCGCTTCTCTCTCCTTACTGCTGGCTGACACTGATGCTGCTCCAGTACCAACGTGCTTCCAGCTCCTCGTGCTCACGCTCGTCTTGTCGGCTGGCATCGGCGCACCCTCTGATCCGCCCAGCGAACGACTGACCAAGGTGCCAATGCCGAACCAGGACCCACCCGCTCTGTCAAAAACGAACGCCGAACGAACTTCGTTGCGCGTGCAACATCATGGATGACGACGTCCCTGAAGAAAGGGGAACGGCGGAGCTCGGAGTGCGGGTGAGCGAAGCGCTCGCCAAACTCGAGGCCATCGCACGGTTTCAAAAGTTCTTAGACCACATCCACTACATTCAAGACATGCTAGTGACCTGGCCGAAAAAGGTCTACGACACCGCTTCGACCAAATTTGCAGCTGCATGGGGCAAGCACGCGGATGCAAAGGGGGCTTTATCGGTACGCACTCAGGCGGAACATGGGTTCAAGATCGCCCGAGACTTGATAAACGAGCGCGCGCCTCTATCTGATCTGGCCAAGCACGACATCCCGCCAGACATCTACAAGGAGCAGCTTAGGGTACACAACATTCGCAACCGCTCTACCATTAAATACAAGGATACTTTGGAGAAGTTGAGTCTGGGTGACGCGTACGAGAAGCTCTACTTGCTCGAATACAACCCCCACCTCCACGAGTTGCACATCACGATTTATGATTCATGATAACGTGACCAGTCTTTTTCTGCTTGCAACTTGCCGACGTAATAATCCCAAAAATATTCAGACGCCTGCCGCTGCCAATCGATCAAAACGAGCCAAGCGGTGACGGTTCACCCAGTTTGCCACCACTTCCATAGCCTTCGTGGTTTCGTTCAGTACTGCGACCGTGGCTCTGGTGTACATGTCATATTCGGTTTGCAGGTTATCATTGCCACCGCATTTGCGTCTATCTCCATAAACGCAAATACGGTGGAGATACCGAATCGGTTTGCAAGCTATCACTGCCGCCGCATTTGCACTTATGGAGGTGTTGTGCGTTTCATCGGCGGAGTTGACGAAGCCGGCGTTGACCATTGATTGGCTGCTCTCAGTTGGCTCACGTGAAGAGACAAAGTCTCCTGACAGAGGAAATGAACATAATATCAGTCGAACCAAAACCATCCGGTCACGCGAAGGTGTCGGTTGCATCGCTTGCCAAAAGGATTGTACGCTTACATTTTGATTCGACTTGGAGCAGTTCATTGTACCTAGAGCAAAATTAAATGAACGATAGAGAGAGAGCTAAAAGTTTGTAAGCTTTAGTATGGACGTGTGCAGAGCGACCCAATATGCCTACTACTATTCTCCGATGTGTTTGCACACGTCTAAAAGTATTTCTGTTCTTGGTTGTGTCTCTTTGCGAACGCGCCAAGCATCGTTGCGAGAGTTGTCGAGGCAACTTGGAAGACATCAGCATCGGATCTGTCCGGACGGCAGCGTTCAACATATCTTCCAAGAGGTGAAACGCACCGATCAAAGTGTGCAGTTCCCGGATACCCGAGAGCTCGGTTGTCATCATTGTAGCCCACTGATAGTATCTTAGCAATGATCGACGCTATGCGTGAAGCACACGCCTCTCCGAGATGAGACCACATTGCTCGAGCGAGAGTTGTTGCACCGAATAGGTGGCAAAGCCATCGACACGTCCGGATCCAACATGCACAGCTGATTATTCGACAAACACATTCGATTATCCGACATACACGGCTGATTGTCTGACTATTTTTCGATTGTTCTTGACGTGATGGCAGCTGGCGCAGCTTTTCTCAGAGCACGTTCCTTGAGTTCCGAAGAGTTCTCCATCATCCCGTTATGTCCCGTTATAATGGGGGTGGGACAAACACAGCTCATCGAGCTGCATTCATTCTACTACTCACAACGAAATTCGCTTCCGACACGAGACGAACGAGCCAAGTCACAAAGTACTTTCACAACGACAATGAAGTTCACTGCCGTCCTTGCTGCTGCCGTCCTCGCTACGACAAGCGTCCTGGCCACAGAGACACCCGCGTTGCGAGCTCTTGCCGACGCCACCGCCGAAGATGCTGTCAGCGATGAGACGAGCATGCAACCCGACGCCGAGGCGATGAACGAAGATGATGACGATGGCCAGCAAGAGAGAAGATGGGGAGGCGGAGGTGGTAAATGGGGCGGTGGTGGTGGTAAATGGGGCGGTGGTGGTGGTAAATGGGGTGGCGGTGGTGGTAAATGGGGCGGTGGTGGTGGTAAATGGGGGCGTGGTTGGTGAGCGTGCGGACTGCACGGTAAGACGAAAAGACGACTTTCCTTTTCGCACGGTCATGCGTTTGCTCAATCATCTTCCGCGCTCTGCGACTGCTGATGCGGTTGATTCAGTAGATCGATCGGAGTGGAGTGAAGCTGAGTGAGTCTGAGATGAGACGAGGTGAAGAAGCGTATTGGTTTGCTAGTATGAGTTGAGCCGAAGAATAAATCATTGCTGTTCCTCGATCGTTTCGTCTCGTTGAAGTCTTCGATGCATCCGTCTCAACGTATGGACTTGATCGACTGAATTGTTACAGGTAGACTGAATTGTTACAGGCAGAGACCGTCAACCACTTGAAGACCGAAACACTGCTGCGGCAGTGGGTGGGGAAACCGATGTGGAACAAGCGTCTTCTTCGCCAGGCCGCTCCGGCTACTTGGTAACATCGACTGCTCGTAGCCTTGGATGCAGTTCCGACGGCTACACATGATACTGACTATGAAGTAAGCATGCTTATGGCTAGGATACGACAACCTTCGGTAACGAGAGGTTGACAGGCAGAAAGAATCCTGGATGCAGTGATGATCTCATCTTGGCCGTTGCAGACGATGAATCGGTAAAAGTGGATGATGGTTTGTAGCGGTTCGAGTGGTTAGAAGTGGACGATGGTTGTAGCGGCTCGAGCGGTAGAAAAGGATCGTTTGTAGTGGGTCAAGCGATAAAAATGGATGGTTTGTAGGGGTTGCGTCGAAATTGTGTACCAGAATTTGGCGGTGCCCTGTTCACCATATCCAAAGATTGTCATGTGGGTCACAGGTTCTGCGGCACGTGTATACGTTAAGATAAGTCCCATTTGCAAGCAGCTCCCATCCGACATTTCTTGTCATCTGCCCCAATTGTTTGATACAGAATTTGTGTACGTGTCTTGTTCGACATGGACTCGGCGTAGGTGTCATTATCTTGACACGCTTGATGGCTGGCAACAAAGATGAACATGTGATTTGGCGGGCCAAAATATGACCGGGTAGTCGATAGGTCATGCCAAGATGGTAACTTTATGTTCTGACAAAACAGGGCGAACACTGTCGACTTGAAGATCCTCGTTTCGATAGATTTTGCAACGTAAATGTTCGTATGGCTGGCATTGTCAAGAATTCCCCTCTGTTACCTCCGACAACCCCCACCTCCACGAGTTGCACATCACGATTTATGATTCATGATAACGTGACCAGTCTTTTTCTGCTTGCAACTTGCCGACGTAATAATCCCAAAAATATTCAGACGCCTGCCGCTGCCAATCGATCAAAACGAGCCAAGCGGTGACGGTTCACCCAGTTTGCCACCACTTCCATAGCCTTCGTGGTTTCGTTCAGTACTGCGACCGTGGCTCTGGTGTACATGTCATATTCGGTTTGCAGGTTATCATTGCCACCGCATTTGCGTCTATCTCCATAAACGCAAATACGGTGGAGATACCGAATCGGTTTGCAAGCTATCACTGCCGCCGCATTTGCACTTATGGAGGTGTTGTGCGTTTCATCGGCGGAGTTGACGAAGCCGGCGTTGACCATTGATTGGCTGCTCTCAGTTGGCTCACGTGAAGAGACAAAGTCTCCTGACAGAGGAAATGAACATAATATCAGTCGAACCAAAACCATCCGGTCACGCGAAGGTGTCGGTTGCATCGCTTGCCAAAAGGGTTGTACGCTTACATTTTGATTCGACTTGGAGCAGTTCATTGTACCTAGAGCAAAATTAAATGAACGATAGAGAGAGAGAGCTAAAAGTTTGTAAGCTTTAGTATGGACGTGTGCAGAGCGACCCAATATGCCTACTACTATTCTCCGATGTGTTTGTACACGTCTAAAAGTATTTCTGTTCTTGGTTGTGTCTCTTTGCGAACGCGCCAAGCATCGTTGCGAGAGTTGTCGAGGCAACTTGGAAGACATCAGCATCGGGTCTGTCCGGACGGCAGCGTTCAACATATCTTCCAAGAGGTGAAACGCACCGATCAAAGTGTGCAGTTCCCGGATACCCGAGAGCTCGGTTGTCATCATTGTAGCCCACTGATAGTATCTTAGCAATGATCGACGCTATGCGTGAAGCACACGCCTCTCCGAGATGAGACCACATTGCTCGAGCGAGAGTTGTTGCACCGAATAGGTGGCAAAGTCATCGACAGGATCGGATCCAACATGCACGGCTGATTATTCGACAAACACATTCGATTATCCGACATACACGGCTGATTGTCTGACTATTTTTCGATTGTTCTTGACGTGATGGCAGCTGGCGCAGCTTTTCTCAGAGCACGTTCCTTGAGTTCCGAAGAGTTCTCCATCATCCCGTTATGTCCCGTTATAATGGGGGTGGGACAAACACAGCTCATCGAGCTGCATTCATTCTACTACTCACAACGAAATTCGCTTCCGACACGAGACGAACGAGCCAAGTCACAAAGTACTTTCACAACGACAATGAAGTTCACTGCCGTCCTTGCTGCTGCCGTCCTCGCTACGACAAGCGTCCTGGCCACAGAGACACCCGCGTTGCGAGCTCTTGCAGACGCCACCGCCGAAGATGCTGTCAGCGATGAGACGAGCATGCAACCCGACGCCGAGGCGATGAACGAAGATGATGACGATGGCCAGCAAGAGAGAAGATGGGGAGGCGGAGGTGGTAAATGGGGCGGTGGTGGTGGTAAATGGGGTGGCGGTGGTGGTAAATGGGGTGGCGGTGGTGGTAAATGGGGCGGTGGTGGTGGTAAATGGGGGCGTGGTTGGTGAGCGTGCGGACTGCACGGTAAGACGAAAAGACGACTTTCCTTTTCGCACGGTCATGCGTTTGCTCAATCATCTTCCGCGCTCTGCGACTGCTGATGCGGTTGATTCAGTAGATCGATCGGAGTGGAGTGAAGCTGAGTGAGTCTGAGATGAGACGAGGTGAAGAAGCGTATTGGTTTGCTAGTATGAGTTGAGCCGAAGAATAAATCATTGCTGTTCCTCGATCGTTTCGTCTCGTTGAAGTCTTCGATGCATCCGTCTCAACGTATGGACTTGATCGACTGAATTGTTACAGGTAGACTGAATTGTTACAGGCAGAGACCGTCAACCACTTGAAGACCGAAACACTGCTGCGGCAGTGGGTGGGGAAACCGATGTGGAACAAGCGTCTTCTTCGCCAGGCCGCTCCGGCTACTTGGTAACATCGACTGCTCGTAGCCTTGGATGCAGTTCCGACGGCTACACATGATACTGACTATGAAGTAAGCATGCTTATGGCTAGGATACGACAACCTTCGGTAACGAGAGGTTGACAGGCAGAAAGAATCCTGGATGCAGTGATGATCTCATCTTGGCCGTTGCAGACGATGAATCGGTAAAAGTGGATGATGGTTTGTAGCGGTTCGAGTGGTTAGAAGTGGACGATGGTTGTAGCGGCTCGAGCGGTAGAAAAGGAT